TAATAATAATAGTAATGAAAATAATAATAGCAATGATAATAAATACTAATAATAGTAGTGATAATAATAAGAATGTAATAAAAATAATACTGATGATAATAATAAAAAAATATGATAATAACAATGACAGTGCTAATGATAACGATCTAAAATTATAATTAAAACAGTAATAGTATTATCAATAATGATGATTGTGATGATAGTGATGAAGATGAAGATGAAGATGATGATAAAGATATAGATAAAGATAAAGATGAAGGTGATAGTGTTTATGATATTGATGATAACAATAACAAAAATAATAATAGCAATGATAATAATGGTAAAAGTAATAGTGATAAAAATAATAATGATAATAATTATTATAATGATAGTAAAAATAATGAAAAAATTATTAATAATGATAATAATAATAATAATAATAAAAATAATGATAATAATGATATAATAATGGTAATAATAATGATGGTAATAATAATGATGATAATATAGATGATGATGATGATGATGATGATGATGATGATGATGATGATAATAATAATGATCAAGATGATAATAATAATAACAATAATAATGATAATAATAATAATAATAATAGTGATAACAATAATGATATGAAGGATAATAATGACAAAAATATGATAATAATAATAATAATAATAATAATAATTATAATAACAATAACAATAATAATATTAATGATTACAACAACAACAATGATAATAATAATAATAATAATAGTAGTAGTAATAATATTATCAATAATGATGATAATGATAATGACAATGATAATAATAATATTAACAATGACAATGATTATAGTAACGACAAAAAACATTAATGGTAATAATAACAATAAGAAAAAGGCTAATATAAATAATGATGGTGGTGATGATAATAACAGTAGTAATAATAATAATAAAAATAATAATAAAAGGTCTAAGATCTTCATTTTACCCTGATCACCTCAACTTATTGCAAAATTTCAAAATTTTTGAGAAATTTCATCATGATCTGAAGAAGGAAGTGTTCTATGATCCACATTGCAAAGGTTCCAATTATGTTGACACCCACATTAAATATTTGGTATAAAACTTTATATTCCCACAATTCTGTCACAGATAATTATTTACCTAAAGATGAGTTCTTATCACTTAAGAACTTGCCTAAATCAAATGATGTAATAATTACTAAGCCTAATAAGGGAAATGGCATTGTTCTGTTGAGCAAACAGGACAGGATGATGGATATTATCTCTGATACAAGTAAATTTAATCTGATTCAGAGAGATATTTTCTCAGTCTTGTTACAATGTGAAGGTAAAATTAACAGACTATCAAAATTGTTAACAAATGATGTAATAACTCAAGATACCTACCGAAATTTGTATGTAAAGGGATCAACACCTGGAATTATGTACGGTCTTCCGAAGGTGCATAAAGACGGAATTTCCCTGCGTCCCATATTATCTGCAATTGGAACATGCAGTTAACAACTAGCTAAATTCCTTGTTCTAAGTCTAACATCACTAACCACAAATATATTTACAGTAAAGGATTCCCTTACCTTTGCCAAAGAAATCACCATTTCGACAAGTGCTGTATGGTCAGTTTTGATATTGCTTCATTATTTCCTAATATACCACTGGAAGAAACAATAGACATATGCATGAAAAACTTGTTTCAGACAGGTGAAACAGGCCAAGGCTTCTCGAAGGAAAATTTAAGGAAGATGCTTGAAGTGTCAGTCAAAGATTGCCATTTCGTTTTTAATAACCAATTGTATATGCAGCGAGATGGCGTAGGAATGGGATCACCGCTTGGTCCTACGCTTGCTAATGCATTTTCATGTCATTATGACCACATCTGGCTTTCAAACTCCCCTATACATTTCAAACCTTTGTATTACAAAAGATTTGTCAAGATTTGTGAGTGATTTTCAAATCACTGGAACATATTCAGGAATTCCTTAGCTACCTCAGCTCGCAACACCCGAATATGAAATTTACTGTAGAGTATGAATAGGATGGAAAATTACCTTTTTTGGATGTGTACATTCATCACTCTGGAAACAGCTTTGACATTTCAATGTACAGAAAACCCTTTTTACTGGATTGTGTTAAAAATTCTCTTCATTCATCCCACTCACATATAAACGGAATCTAGTCAACACGCTCACCACACGAGCATACTACATTTGCTCTAACTGGACGTACATAACAGGAACTTTCATTCATCCGTGACCTCCTCTACAATAAACATTTTACCGATACATGCATCGGCAAAACTCTGAACATCTTAAGCATTAAACATTCCAACATTAAGGTAACAAAGAAAATGCTCAACTTTCCCATCATCTACTCAGGCGAGCCAGCATTCAGTTAAAACTAAAAGTATCCAAACTAGTCAATGAATTCTACCCACAGGTCAAATTAAGTTATATTCAGAACAAAGAACACTATTCAAAATCTTTTCAAATTCAAAGATACAGTACCCACTGAATTAAGATCTAACATTGTTTACAAATATACGTGTGATAGTATCATATATGTAAAACCACCAAACATTCGAAAACACGCATCTCACAGCATCTGCGTATTTCCGACCGAACTGGCATCCCAATGACCAAACCACACTTTTTAGCAGTCAGGAATCACGCAGATGACACAGATCACCCTTTACATCGCAAAGATTTTTCAGTCTTGGCAAGCACACCATACCACCAGCAGCTCCTTATCATGGAGAGCAGACGAACATACATATATAAACCAACTCTTAACAACAATGAAACCTCCACACCACTCTTGTGACGTAAGTAGTGCCCTTTTGGTTGTGTATTTTTTTTTGTGTTTCGTTTTTTTTTTTTTTTTTTTATCCAGGCAGGTTTTCGTTTTAGCTGAATTCTTCCGTTCTTTCTGTACGAGTCATTTATGTTCAACTTTTTTTTAGTTTTGATAATTTTTAATATTACTTTAGTTTTATCCTTTTCACATGTTTTATTAGTGTATTTTAAGTTATCTAATTTTATAAAGCCCACTTTAGGATTTTTTTTTTTCATAGTAATCCATATATTGGACTTTCTCCCAATAGATGGGCTTGAGAATGGATTTATGTTAATTAATCCGAAACGTCTCCCGGTAAGAATAATGGCCCCAGACTTGGTGTTTTTGTTATTACTACTACTACTAATATTAATAATAATGATAATAATAATAGCAATAATGATGATGGTGATAATAATGATAATATTTATAATGGTAATCATAACAATAATAATGAAAATAATATTACGAGCAATAACGATAAAAATATAACACTGATAGTACTGATAACAACAATAACAATAATAACAATGATAAAGATGATGATGATGATAATGATAATGATAACAATAATAATATCAATAATAATTATAACAACAATAATGATAATAATATTTATGATGATGATGATAATAATAATAATAGTAAAAATAGCAATAATAATGATAATAGAAATGATAATATAAATAATAACAATAATAATAATATTGATAATATTGGTGATAATAAAACCACAATTTATGGATGGCCTTAAACTTTTCAAGAAAAAAAAGAAAAAGAAGTGGACAGCCTTGTATCTACTGTCGAAGTGATTGATAATCAGTGAGGAAATAGGAATGAAGTTTGGTATCAAGCAGTGTGGCTTCGGAATCATGAAACGAGGAAAATTGATTAAGAGCAATAGAATAAAACTGACGAATGGAGAGGCAATAAAAGAAATGGAATATGAATCATCTCGGAATTTTAGAACGGGATAAAGTATAAGAGAGAGATGAACGGTTTGTTTAAGGCAGGATATGTTAGAGAGTTAAATTGGTTATGGAATCAAAATTCCACGGAAGAAACAATATCAAAGTAACGAACACCTGGGTTGTATTTCTCATGAGATATGGAACAGGGTAATCCAATGGTACAAGGAAGAACTACAAGCCATTGATAGGAAAACTAGAAAGCTTATGACCATGAATGGGGAATTACACCCACGAAGCGATGTTGCAAGGGTTTATGTGGCAAGGAAAAAAGGAGGAAAGGGTTTGATTAGTTTCGGAAGTTCTATCCAAAGAGCAGAGAACAACCCAAGTTGGTATGTTGGTAACAGTGATGAGGTCATGTTGAGGAAAGTGGCGGTGATAGGAATGGTGAATACGGAGGAAGCAGTGAGGCCAAGCGAATAAAAGATCGCAAAGAAAGGAAAGAGAAAGAAATGCACGGACAGTGTGTCAGTCAGGGACAAGGTAGAGGTTGATTAGGAAAAGACATGGCAATGGATAGGAAACGGAGATCTGAAAGGGTGCACTGAATCACGTATTTTGTGCACAGGAACAAGTACACAAAGTCTCACATTGACATGACCATAGATTCGCCGCTATGTAGGAAGTGTGGAGAAAGAAGAGAGAACGTAAGTCATTTGATCACTAAATGTACTAAACTGGCACAATAAGAATGAAAAAAAAAACAAACTAAAAAAGGCAATGTGGGACGCTATATACATTACCAACTCTGAGAAAAGGGGGGATTTGGAAGAGCTAGTAGGTGGGAAGACCAGAAACCAAAAGCAGTGATGGAGAATGAAAACTTTAAGCTATTGTGGGATTTCACTATACTACGTGACCGAATGCTAGAGGCAAGAAGACCAGGCATTGTGTTTGTGGATAAAAAGAAGAAAGAAATTAAGATTCTGGATGTGGCAGATCCTGGTGATGTAAGGGTTAGAGACAAAGAACTTGAGAAAATTGAAAAGTTGAAGGAAGAAGTAAGAAGGGTTTGGCGAATGAAGAAAGTCACAGTAATAGCTATTGTATTTGGTGCATTGAGAGCCATTTTGGATAGGTCTGAAAAGCATATAGAAAATAATGAAATTAAGATAATAAATAGTAATACTACCACTACTAATAACAATGCTAATAATGATAATAACGATAATCAAAATAATAATTATAATAATAATAATATAATAACAAAATAGTGATGATAATTATGATAATAGTAAGAACGATAATAATATAATAACAACAAAATAGTGATGATAAGGATAATAATAATTATTATATAATTCATAAATATCAAAAGAGCAAAAATTGTGATAATAATTATAGGAACAAAAATAACTATGATAACTGTATTAATAATAAAAGTCACGATTGTGAAAAAAATGATTATTCATTTTCATCACTACTTGTCATTTATTTTGTCAAAAGATAATGAAGGATTATTAACGAATACTTGTGAAATTTAATTCGATTCTAGAAAGGAAGACATTTTCTTCCACAAACTATAAATTTATCAAGGAAAAAAAAAAAAACTAACAATTTGTTAAAAACATAAAAAAAACTAAATGAGCTTTATATAACATTAAAATGTTGCCATAAAAACTGCTTGTCACCCGATGTAATTGCCCAGCCAAATAAATATTCTGCCAAAAGCATGTGATACTTTCTCACGCAAGCGCCCCTTCCCAGAGAGATTCTGTAATGTACCTCTTGGCAGGTTTAAAATATGGCCAGACTTGAATTTTCTTTTTTTTCTTCATCTTTTTCGTGTATTATTTTTTATTTTATTTTATTTGTTCTCTATTCTTTGAAATTCCTCTTTGTCTTATTATGTATGCGAATACTTCGTTACACTGTCTTCTGATGTGTGGGAACATCAATATACTGCGACTCATCCTCATTATTATCATTATTACCGTTAATATTATTATATGTATCATCATTATAATCTTTGATATTATTATTATGAATAAACCTATTTTTTTATTATTATAGTTGTTTTGTAATTATTGTTGTTGTAATTATTATTGTTGTAATTATTATTATCATTGTATCATTGTTATTACTATTACTCTTTTTATCATCATCAGCATTATTATTATTGTTATTAATAATAATATTATTATTATTATTATTATTATTATTATTATTATTATATACTAACATTATTATCATCATTATCACTGTCATCATTACAGCAATTTCTAAAAATGGTGATACTGCAGAAGTGACATGACAGTAGGGAGACCACAGCAATAAAATGTATTACAGCATAAACAAAAATGTAACTAACAACAGTAACCGTAATAAAAGAAATATGATGATGTTGACAATGCCATTGCAAATAACAAAAACGATTATAGTGGTGTTAATGATAGCAAATTACTATAACAATGTAATAAGAATAACACAAATAACAACAACAGTGATGAACATAAAAGAGATAAAAGTATCCACAACAGCAATACGTTATACTATAATTACAACAGTTAAATAACGCATTTGAATTTCCGAGCTGTTACCACCGAGGGGGTCGTCTTCAAAACCACTCTTCGAATACCCAAGTGCGAGTTAATGTGAAGTGTCTCTGGGTCTTGTGTAATCTTAGTTGGAGACATGTTTTAAGTGGTTTATTGTTGTTAAAGTGGTTTAGTGCTGCTGTCCCTTGATTTAGAAGTAGCGTGGGATCGAATCGTTATGGTTCTTATATAATGATTATGAAACACTGGAGTTCTGGATTTAGAAATGTAATAGTAATATGAATAACGATACAAACAGCAGCAGTGATGCTGATGATGATAAGAATGACACTAACGATGATAAAGAGAGTGACACTAATATATGATTAAAAGAGTTAGTCTTAAAGGAAAGGGAAATTATTTCAACGTCATGTAATTAAGCTAGGAAGTGGTTTATGAAAGCATAAATAGCACTAATCCTAGCTATTAGAATAAAAAACGAAAAGAGAGTTTCCCTTTATTTCGACATTAGAATTAAATACTTTTATCTTCCTTTTCACACCCTTTTCTCTTTATCTGTACTTTCTTTTTTCTTTCACTCGAGGCGATTTTGCGCAACAACAATCAACAGAATTGAACTAATAAACCTGTTTATATCGAAAATAACAATTTATGGTCTACTCTCACAACCCAAACTCCAATAAATGACAACGATAAAGCAGCTAACTGCCAATTAAATTCGACGAAGCTTGTCTCACGGAAAAGTCTATTTAAATATGTTAACTTGTCACTCCATACATGGCTCCACTTCCCTCCAAAATCCAACGAATCAATGACGCGTTAGATTACTTACAGCGGCCAATCCCTTGCAGTCTTACAAAGGGGGAGGCCCGCTAGCCAATAGATGGATAGCTAACATAACTGTCTTCCCGCCAATAATCACCAATCACAGTCAAGCATTTATAACCTCTTCTCAGCAGCCGATCCAGAAGCTAAAGGGACAGAGTGCGACTAGCGTGAAATGGAAGCCCTTGCTGTTTCTACTTCTGGGTTTGTCTCTTCCTTTGTTTCTTTCTCTTTTTTCTTTATCTCCTTCTCTCTCTCTCTCTCTCTCTCTCTCTCTCTCTCTCTCTCTCTCTCTCTCTCTCTCTCTCTCTCTCTCTCTCTCTCTCTCTCTCTCTCTCTCGTGATAATGATTGAAATGAAAACATGTAATAATGATAATAGTTAT